ATGGAACTAAAAACGGTTAGCGAAAGAGACGGAGTTGGGGGCACGGTCAGGACGTACCGAAGGCCGAGGAAGAGGCACCAGAACATGCGCTTTCCCAGCTGGTCCTCGACGTGGTTGAACGGGGGGCCACGGTAGGTAACGCCGAACATGGATGAGCCCAGGTCCCGCGGCTTGTGGTATCCCAGCTCTCGGATGAAAGCCATGGACTCGGCCATAAAACGGCGGTAAAGCTTCCACCGCATGGTGTATGCGGCCGCGAGAGCAATAAAATAGCTCGTGGAAGCATCATAGACGGTGATATCATCCTTACTGCAGAAGGATGCGCCCCGCGCCTCGAGGGCCACTGTCCGACACCGGTCTACCAATGTGATGGATTTGGGGTACATGTGCATGCCGTGTTGCTGGGTCTTGAGGTGCAACCGGGCCGTCCTCGGAAACGATGCCACCAAGGCGCCAATCATGCTGGCCAGTAGCCCCAGGAACGCACGATTTGTGCGGTCCTCACGAGCCGTGAATGACATGCGGAACGTAGGCTCGTGGGGGAACGGCGCGAGCGGGTGGATGTATGTGAAAAAGTCGTCGATGAGCAGAGTCAACACGGGCCACGGGGCGATAGACTCGGCATCAAGGATATGCTGTGCATCTTGGCCGCCGGATATCGAGATGAGCGTCTCGGCGGCGTTATGCGGTCCAGGGCTGATGTTTGGTTCCAGTCGTTGCTGCTTGGCCGCCTTGGCCGCTTCGGCGTGTTTGTTAGGCGGCCCGCGCCGCTTCATCGTCCGATTGAAGGTGCAGTCGACGCCGAGTTCGATACAGGGCTTGCATGGCTGGGTCTCGTCGCACTACGCAGCAAAAAAGTTAGCTGAAGTGGTAATTTCCTCCGCCTAGACTTGATGCGTACCTTCACCTTGCGCTGGCTGCACATGTCGCAAGCCCGACGCAAGCGAGTTGCTTTTGCATTTGGTCCGCCACCAGGAGAGGGCCCGACATCGTTGGCGGTGAGATACGAGGAGGCATCAGCGAGAGATGCATGTTGCGATGTCGCTGGACTCGGTGATGGGACCGGAGCGGGAGCTGCGACGGCAGCTTGTAGCGCCTGGAGACCATGATGGGCGGCGGCGACTGCGGCAGCGGCAGCTTCAGCGGTGAATTGGGGATGCACTTGCGACTGATGGGCCTGGCGACCGTCGGTGTCGGCGCCTTGCTGGGGATTATTTGGGGTCGGCCCTGTGCCGTCGCCTGTCGAGGGCGGCGGTGGTGGGTAACTCGACATGATTGCTCCGCAATTAACGCGTCACATTCGACGCGCCTTGGCCTCACGGCTTCACTCCGGATGATCTTTGCAGCTGGCTGTCCAGGCGCGCTGGCGACTTTTCGGCGAAGATCCGGTAGAATCGCGGATGTTTGCGAGGCCGGTCGATGCACTTGCCCCGCAAGGCCAGGTAAGCGTTGAAGGTCTGAGCAGCAGCACGTGACTCCCACCTTGGCTCAAGATTCCAGCTTTGGAGGGAAGGCAACAGTCGATGTGCAAGTCACCGCTGTCCCGAAATACTCAATTCAACTTTCCAGCATCGCCCAATAATTCGGCTGCAAAGCAAAATGCAACACGGCCAAATTCATTTGTACTTGAAGTTCTAAGCCAAATAACATGGAACCCCCATGATGGCCAACTGCCCCTCATCAATTCACTATTTGGGGCTGTCCAATTGCCATCCATCAATCGCGACATATCCGTTGCCCGCCGTCAAGACCCCGACAGCAACAATATTGTTCAACCAGTAGTACTTGCTACTACCAGTCTCAAACTCCATCCGCAGGTGGATTTTGCCGCTGGCTTGCGCCGGCCCCGCCGTGCGGATGAAAATGTGAGCGTTGTCGTCGGTCTGAAGGTGGTACCGTGTGTCGGCTGAGAAAGTGCCGTCCTTGTCGATCAAGCCCCAATCCGCCCCGAGGTTCAGCACCTTGCCTACACATCGCCGCTTTGGTTAGCCTGCCTCAATTCTTCCATCATAAACGAGTGTTTGGTCGGTTGGGAAGCATACCGGACAATTTCGGACCAGAAAAGGTACCGCCGGTGATGGGGATGACCGTGCGGGTGCCATGCGGGCCGGCGCCAACAGGTAGCGCCTGTCCGAGCGTGCAGTTGAGCGAATACAGGTAGGTCAGGCCTGGAGCCGCCGGCGTGGCAGCCGAGGCGATTGAGGTGACCGATGCCAACAACAACGCAACTAAGCCCTTCATGATGAATGTGCTGGTCGTGGGAAAAGACGTACTCCTCGGGGCCAAAGGATTCGCTACCCAAGATACACAGGCCCCTTTTAACAACGACGAGATCTACGACGTGCCATGCCACTTACACCGCGGATCTGGGTCAGCACTTGCCGCGATAGAATCCCGGTGCACGGCAATCACAGGGCCAATGCAACCATCCCCGATCTCATTCGCTCGCTTGACCCGGTTCCTCGGCCGGTTGAATCCCCAAAAGCGCGAAACCAAAACCAAACCCCAAACTGGAAAGCCTGCGAGACTCCGTCCGTGTAAACAATCCGTGTAATTTAGGGCCCCGCATCATCGCGTAACCCCCGGACCCCCTACTGCCATGTACATACACTAGGCACCGCAAAGAGGTGTTACTGTGGCTTGCAGTCGGCCCCTCCCCAAGTACACCTTATTAACTCGTTTCTAACTCATGCCGGCGAGTGTGGCCGGCAACATGGGCCTGGGCCGGAGGAGCATCGAAGCCAAGAATCGAGAATATGCACTCGGTGTTGGTATGTACGACGCGCTCCAGCTGCCCCTGGTACCTTGCTTGAACGGGTGATCTGTGCAACTGGACCCTGACGTCACCATTGCCATCTTGAGCATTTGCCTGCATTGGGCTTGTTCTTTCGGAGGGGCTCGTCCATGACTTGGAGTAACTTAACGACAGCCCAATGAGCACGGCTCAGGGCATGTAGAGGGATGTTCGAATTGTGCAAGGCTACGTGAATTGGTTTCCACCGGTGACACTTGAAGCCGGTCAGAAGCTCACCAGCCTGGTGACATCAGGATTGAAGCTGAGTCATGACGCACATGAACGATGATGACTGGGATCTGGCCATTTTCTCAAGGTTATGAGTAGAAAATCACATTATCTTTTGTTAACGGACACGAGACCGAAATACACTAATGTCAAGGGGTTGCTGAACTCCTAATTCGGGAAATGACCGTGCAAACGACGCATGGCTTGAGTCTCAGTTGCGTGATGTGATGGGATGGCTGCCCAAATTCACGACTCCTGCCAAGCATCGATCTTGGGCTGGAACAGCACATGACAGCATGAACAACGTGGCACCACGAGTTTCGGTTGACTCTGTACTTTGGCAATAAAAGACGGCAAAACGCCCTAAAACATCATGTCTGACTCGATACCTCTAAGAAAAAGTTAGAACCCTAGCTTACCCACCGAGCCACTTTGCCTTGCACCTGCCAAACCAAATACCAACCCACGTCCCGCTGTACCTTCCTTGACCAGGTCTCAACCCTCCACACCGTTTGCCTTTCAATTTTTTCCATCTCGCCACGGTTGCAGGCAGCAAGCAACACTACGGCACTGCCATTCCTTCTCCTGCCACCACAATGCCCACAATGCCCCTGATGCGATGCTCGCCGAGTCCAACAAATAGGACAACAAAGGGTCACCGGGACCGAAAACATCAAAAAAGACCAGCGCCTGGGCTGCTCCTACCACAGCAACTCGCCATGGAGCCGATTGTCTGGCCGGCCGAACTGACAAGACAAAGACACAAAATTGAGCGACACAAGATCTCCAGCGGCCCAGCATCAATATTCGATCTCACGCATCTGTTCCGGCTCCCGCTCGACATCCGCCAATACATATACAACCTCATGTTGCAAGATGCTGGAAAGCGCCAGCACATATTCTGTCCCTCAGTCGCCCGGAGAGGTATTCCGAGCGAGCTGCACCTCCGATATTTGCACAGCAGAGAATGCGGAGAGCCAAGCACCAGCAGTTGTGGACACTACGACTGCCAGAAGAATGTGCACGAAGGCCAACCCAATTCCTACCGTCTCGCAGATTTAGTCGTTTTGATGAGGACCTGCAAGTTTGCGTATGGAAATGCCATGGCGCCCGGCTTAAAGGAGTCCATATCGTGCTAATATGACGGCAAATCACAGATACCGCGAGGTTGCCCACTTCCTCTACCGCCAGACCACCTTCACCTTCGCCAGCTTCGGCGAACTGGAAACATTCCTCGACTGGATCAACCCAGAAACGGCACTCTCGATCCGCTCCGTTGCCTTCATCGCACACATGTTGCCCGAGGGGACCGAGCACTGCAAGGAGCTGATCAAGGGCCACTATTTCCGTGGGACGGGCTGGGATCACGTCGCGCTGTTCCAGCGCATGCCCAACCTCGCGACGCTCGACATCCGCTTCTTCCCCAGTGTCATGCTCTCGTTCACCACCAAGTTTGCCGAGATTATGGAACCGCTCAGGGACCTGCCCGCGCACACGGACATCAGGGTCGCGCTGCCGAGGATGTACTACAACAAGGACAGGACCGGCAGGGGTTTGCCGTTCGTCCGTGATCTTGCCCACGGCCGCCCATCGTTCTATTCATTGACTAGGGCGGTGGCTTCGGTGGAGCAGGCGACGTCGGGCTGCGAGGCGTATGCGAAGTTTTTTGTGTAATGAGGGCGGACTGGCTCGTCCGTGGGAAAGCATCTGTTCCTGGGAGGGTATGGTCCACATTTTGGCGACGGTTGGGGCAAGTCCAGAACCCATAATCGTTACGATTCAGTGCGAAAGAGCACGGGGGACGTCATTTTTAGCTTTCTCGATTAGGTAAATACCTACATGCTTGCTGCAAGTCGGGCGAGTCGCCGGCTCGGACCGAAGCCCGGAGTCGGGATCAGAGAAGGGGTGGGGCCACGAGAAGAAGAAAAAAACACCCAAAAAATACCACAACACCGAACCATAGTTGACTTGGGAATTGAGCCCAACGTGGGGGTCGAACCCACAACCTTGAGATGACCCGTTTCCCCTCTGCGGGAAAGTAAGAGTCTCACGCTCTACCGATTGAGCTAGCCGGGCGCACCGGGTTGTTGTGTTGACATGACTCGCGAGCGCGCACGTTGAAGGAGGCATGGCCTCCCCGTTCTCCATGGTACACCCCTGTCCTCCGACAGATCAGGGGGGGCAGATTCACACAGGGAGCACAGCGAGAGGCAGGTACCTATCTAAATCTCTGCCTCTGGACCAATACTGTCCTCGTACAACCCCAGCCCCGTGTGGCGTGCGTGCCCGGGCAAGGGGGCCGTGGCATGTGTTACGGCCCCACCTGCCAGCTTCAACCCATCCAGTCGGTTTGGCCCTGTGTTTGTTGTTGGGTACAGCATGTACCAGACCTCGCCTTGCTGCCCACCTTGGTCTCCTCCCCGTCGCCCTGAGCAGATGCCGGTTACCCCGCTGGTTACCTAGACATTGTCCTACACCGTATTTCCCAACAACCCGGGTGGGCGGGTCGTCTCGTATAACGCACGGCCTGCCGGCACGGGGCAGTGTCTTTGATACCCAGCCGTCCTTGCGTATCTTGACGATGTCTGCGTATGTTGTTGGGGACGCGCGTCACGGTGCTGCTTTGGCATGCCCGCCCATCTTCGGTAATGACCGAGTCTGTGACTTCCCGACGGGATTGAGAGATTGGGGCCGCGTTACAGACGTTAGGCAGACGGTAGCCACATCACGCAAGGGGCGGGCTGGGCTTGCGAGATTCCATGGCAAACGTGCAGAGGGTGGGTGGATGGCCTTGCATTGGTGGCGCGGGACTGATCGGCAGGGCAGCCGGCAGGACGCCCCCTTTCCGGAAGCGGCTGGGACGATGGTCTGGACTCAATCAATCGGATCATAGATTCGTTGTTTGGTCAGGCCGGGGACCAATTTTGGTCTGCCGGGACAGATATGTGTCGGGGCCGCGCTTTGAGAGGCCCAGATTCCGCCCACGGACGGGTACGTTGCACGAATCCAGGCAAACATGCAGAGATGCCGTCCAGAAAAAAAACCTCATGCGTCAACGTGACGCTCCCCGGCGGCCAAGTGCATGGTCACGATTCTGGTATCCATTTATGTATGTATTCAATAGTGACGCCACGGAGCGCAAATAAGGCGGAGCGTTGCAGCGTGTCCAGCGCCGTCCCGGCCCCGGATGACATGCCCGCAGCGATGTCGCCGTCAGTGAGGTGCGCTCTGCCAATTACTGTTGCAGGGCCCGGAGGAGTCTCCATACCGGTCAGCTCCGAGCGCCAATTGGAGACGCCCTCGCCCTGTAACAAGCCATGTCCGAGTGGGCATCTTGTTGGGGGGGGGGATGGTCTGCAATGGGGTGTGTTGCTTTTTCTCCACCGGCTGCCGGTTTCTTGCAGCATGGAGAGAGGAAGGGGCAGTGGGGAGGGCGCCATTTCATTTTGTTCGCCCGGGAATTTGCACCGCCGCTGGGCGATGCCGATGAGGGTGTCTGGTGCCTGACCTCACTGGCTAGGCTCCGTGCTCCCAACTCGTTTGGAAACGGACGGGAGAGGGGCAAAGAAGGTCAGGTTGGAGAGCCCAAGACCCGCTACCGGTGATCCTGCCTCCAGGAGCGGTTGGCAGTAGAGTCAAGTCCTCCGACCGGGTGGCAACAAGCGAACCGTGGCTTTGAGTGCCTTTGGGGAGACCTTGCAGTGTGCCCATGCTCGGGGCTCGCAGCAGACAGAAGTTTGGGATGATATTTTTCAGAACCTAACAAAGAAACTATCTATCTATGGAAGAAGGATGGAATGGGTTCACGGTTGTAACTGCAAACCGGTGTTTTAGTCTACTGCCGGGCTTTGCTCTCCCCGACATTGGCAGCCCCGTGAGGCGGGGCCGTCTGGTCATCCATGTCCTGTGTCTCTTTTTTTGTATTGTCGCTCTGCTCGATATCGGGCAGCGCCTCCAGCGTGTCCTCACCCTGTTCGTGATCGTTTCTCAGTGTCTGTGGTGCGTTGTCGCCTCGCTGGTCATCCATATCCAGCGCTTCCGGTATGTTCTTCCCATGCTCACCGTCGTTTCCCAGTATCTGCGGCCTGCTGTCACCGTGTTCGCCGTGCATACCCGGTGCCTCCGGGTTGTTCTCGCTTCGCTCGCCATTGGCTCCTGGTGTCTGCGGTATCTTGTCGCCCTGCTGGCAACCAGCACCCGATGTCTCCGCTGTATTATTGCTACTTTGCTCACGTTGCTTGGACCGCTCCAGAGCTTCTTGAAAAGCTCGAATGCTCCGTTCTCGCCGGACATCGGCTGGGAGCAATTCCCAACCCTTCTCGTACCCGGGCCGGATAAAGGGTTTGGCCTCGGGCCCGCCAAAGGTCCAAGGGGTAATGACTTGCATGGGAGTCACAAGGGAGAATTCGCGATCGAAGTCCAAGCCGTTAAGGCCACTGGTCACCAACATGGGCTCAATCACAAGTTGGACGGGCGGCAACGGGCCGCCTGGTCGGCCGTGTCGGGTGGGCGGTACCTCGACGGCATTGACCACCCGCATCCAACTTTTGTCAAAGGGAAAGTCGGAGGTTTCGTCACTGCCAATGGGTGTAAACCTGAGGGTGTAGCTTCCACGCATGCCATGGAGGAAATACTGCGCGCTGAGGGCGGCGCCCAGTAGGTTCTTGATCGTCATGTTGATATAATCGGTAGGGTTATCCCGGCTGCCACGCTGGTGCAGATCCCCATCATGGGCGTCGTCGAGAAATTTGTCTTCGCCGCCAGCAACAAGGTGACGGAGAAACTGTTTGAAGTGGGACACCAGATGCGCTGGCTCAATGGGTTGCTCCACTCCCAGTCCACGCCGGACGAGGTGTTCAGTCATGCGAACCCAGGCGGAGAATTGGATGCGGTAAACGGCGTCATCGTGCTCGCCTTTACAAGGGCGTAAAGCTGGACGCAGCGTTAGTATGGACTGGGCGGCAGGCGGCGGATACACCGCAGCAAACTGTAGGTGACTTACCATCCAATTCACGGCGCAAACCACGAACATGTTCCCATACAGTTGAGCTCGGTTTGACCAGAGACCCCTCTTCTGCATCTGTGGCAAAAGAGAACAAATTGTCGTCAAGATAATGCCAGATCCATGCCTGAACGATCCCGGCCTGGTGGGCGACGAAGTCGGATTCCCAAAATTGCCTCGCGGCCGGGGTCCGGCTTTCCAAGCGTCTCCGGGCATCCGGATCCAGGTCTTCCCATGCTGCAAGGCCCATCCGTCGGATGTCTTGCGACCAGGCCCTCACGCTGGTGAGCAGTGTCCCCCAACGACCCATGGTGTTCAAGCTTCCCTTGCAAGGTCCGTTGGTGTAGTGATCCAATGCCCGGTGATAGTCAACCCATTCGACGCCGCGTCGGCAGCAGTAAGCCTCACATGGCTGAGCCGGATGCTCTTCAGGCCGAAAAGAACTGGCCATGTTTTCGTGCGAGATGTCAGGTGTTTTGGCGTCAAAAGCACCCTCGGGCGTTGATGCACTGCGTCTTTTACGCTTTTGGCTGTTGGGCCGGGGCATAGTAGCGTGCTCTGATGCTGGAAAAGGCTGGTGTTTCAACAACAACTTGTCGACAAGGGGCCGGGTCAGCTCGGGTGTGTGCACGAATAGCACGGAAAGCGGGATACGAGCGTCGATAGTCCCAAGGACAGGATTCTTGTGTGTGCTTAGGGAATGAAATGACTCTCCTTTCTTCCTCCCATTGCTCCGCTCCGCTTCGTCCCCGCCAACGGAGCGATGGGATGGGAGTCTGGCCGTTTCCGGCCATTGGTGCTCGGGATCAGCCAGTTGGAATTTGTGCAACAACCGAATTTTTGGACACGCATCCAGCGTCCCATGTGCATACTGTGTATGTGTACATACATGGGCATGTACATATGTGTACATGGACATGTACAGGGACATGTAATGGTTTTTATGTTCCATTAGTTGGCATGTATGTACCATTGTGGACCATGCCGATCTGGGTCAAGCCAGGCACCATCACAAACAAACGGGGCGGGGGCTCATTTCGCGGGGTGTTTCGACGGTGCAGTAGCCCGATCAAGGCAGCTTACCTGGGTACCTATGTAGGACATTTTGGATAGGAACCTGGAAGTGTTTTTGCATATTAAACAACATACACAGTGACATGGAGTGACGGCGTAAGACGGTAAGATCCAGTCTCCAAATGGCTGCGGCGGTGTTCCGGGCCTACGACTAGCCACTGAAAATTCACCTCTCGTATCCGTTTGAATCCGTGATGCCTCCTCCACGGTCGGTGGCATGCATGCATGCGTTGCTGCTGTCCCTGTCCGGAGACGTTGTGACTTTCAGGCAGTTTCGCACACAGTTCCTATGTCGCTGGACCCAGTGACCACACATTGAAACTTACAGGGCTGTTCTCACCGGCTGGTCAACTGTTCTCACCGGCTGGTCAACTGTTCTCATCGGCTGGTCAACCATCATCGGAAGTTGTCTTAGGGACGGCGCTGCCTACTCGTGCTTTTTACCCTGGGCAAGTGCGGCCTCATTCCTCGACGCCCATCGAAAGGAGGTCAACCACGCTACACAGCCAGTTTCTGTCAAATCTTGCGCATCTTTTGCTCGCGACGTCTACCAAGCCAAGACTCTGTCTTTCGAGCCATCAACCACGGGTCCACAGCCATGGCACCTTCTCTCAAACTCGCTGTCGGTGTCGACATTGGGGTCTCGTAAGTACACGCATTTCAAAACATCACTTAGCATCCCGTTGGGCGTACCTCCGGTGTTTGGCCCCAGCACTACTGGCAACATATGGGCAAGTTTACCTAACAAGCAAGTACTAACGTTGCGATGGGGACAGGACCAGCGGTGCTTCCTTCATTTTGCTCGGACTCGACGACCGACCCACAGATTTAGTCCAACCGATACAGCTCAGGGAAGAGGAATTGCAGCCAACGGTCATAGGCTCCCTGACCCGCAAGGAGAGCTGGGGTGACGACATCCGGACTGAACAGGGCGAAATCGGGCTGGACCTGTTCAAGCTGGCGCTTCCAGACGGCGCACTGTCTCATCGTACCCTACAAG